CTGGAAGATCCTCCGCGCGGTCTTGCTGGCCAGGACTCGGGTCCCGCTCAGGGACGGGGGCGTGTTCTCCTTGTCGGCCAGGTTGAGTCCCTTCAGCGGCGACAGCTGCAGCTGCTGCTGGTCCGTAATGGTGGCGAGCGGGGCGCGGACGGAGAGCATGATGGCTCGCAGCGGCCGGCGAGGAGCGAGACGAATGGAGCAGACGATTTGAGCTGCCCGCGCGCGCGCTGCGCGATTTTAATCTCCGCGGAGCCCTAAAGGCCGAGCGGGAGACCCTGAGTGTGTCCCTGCCCCGCATCTCGGAAAGCGTCTTCCAGCCGGGTAGGACAGAGGGCTTTGCGCACTGGGTTGGCGTGACTGCATGGCTGCAAGGTCGCTGCCACCACGCACCGGTGTCCCTGGGGGGGTGCAAGGGTCCCCAGATCGGGCGTGAGGACCGTGCAGCCGGACACTAGGGCCCTGGGTACCGGGGCCTGGGTGGGTGACCTGACTTCTTAAGGGTCTGGGGGCCCCATTGGTGACCTGGGACTTGTAACCCAGCCCGTGAGGTTAATGAAGTGCGGAGACCACTGAGGACAGTACAGGTCTTTGCAAACCTTCACGCCGAATGACAGGCAGGGCCCTCGGTGCAGATTTCTGCCCTAACTCTCGTCATCTACTGTCCTCCGGGTCCTCCTTGTTTTAAAAATTGGAAACTGGACAAACGTGGGAGAGTTTAGGGAATGACTCAAGAGCTGGAAGCTCACTTCTGACTCAGAAGAGCCCGAAGGGGGTTTTCAAACTCTGGAGGAGAGGCCGGGACGGGGACTCGGGGACAGTTTCTGTTTGGACGTTTGCCCTCCGAGGGGCAAAATGCCGGAAATAAATGAAGAGAACGAAACGTTAAGGCCAAGGAAGTAATGATTGACCGGGAAAGATCCCACAAGCAGCACAAAGCCCTTTCTAGATAAATCAAGGGTGGGGAGGGAAGATACTTCCTCACCCTGCCCCCAGCCACCACCTAAAGTGTACGTACCGGGTTCAAAGTCTCTCCCTGGCGTTAGAAATCGCCTCTCTTACCCAGGGACCGGGAACCCTTTGGCCCAGCATCGTGTGTTTAAAGCAGCTGACAGGCGCGTTTGGCTTCACTTGCATATTTCAGCACCCGAGTCCAGAGAGTGGGTGCTCTCACTGATAACTCCACGGCCGATAAAGCCATGATCAGATCTGACCAAATAATCAATACGCGGTCGGTATCATCTAATACCTAACTCACTTTCCGGTTTCCCGTAATCAGTATCCAAAGTGCTGCTTCGGGTTGCTCCGTTTATTCTAACTCTGGGAATTAGCCAGAAATGATGGCCTCGTGTTTAATGATGGCCTGGCTACGAAAATAACAACTATCCATTGTTAAAAACTTGGAACAGGAGGGGCAGGGGTTTCTGGGCCTGGTGACATAGGCCCGTGATGCCAGCACTCTGGAAGGCTGAGGCAGGGAGATCGCAAATTCAAGTGACTTAGCGAGATCCTGTCTCAAAATTAAAAAAGAAAAAAAACATTGTAAGGGGCCGAGGATGTAGGTCAGCGTGAAGGCCCGGGATTCAATAACCAGTGCCAAAACAAAAAGAAAGGCAGGGTGTGAGGCGCCACCCGCCCGCCCCCAAGGGGAAGCCGGGCTCCGCGGCTGCGCCTTTCCCGACACCCGCCGGCGGTTTCCTCCCTTCGTTTTCCGCGCCAGTTTTGACGTCTACCTCACGATTGGTCCTCCGGAGAGCATGCTCCGCCCCCTTCCCGGAACTTCCTCGGCACCATCCCAAGCCCCGCCCCGAGCTCCGGAGCTGGCTCTGCCGCAGCCCCAGGCGGGCCCGCAGTGAACTTGGCCGCAACTCTGTCTGCACAGTTGGGGCCGGACCAGAGCGGGAAACCGAGCCCTGGGGGAGGGCGCTTTTCCCAGAGCCGTTCTGTACTCCGTGCTCCAGACACTGCTGAGGGTTGGCATCGGAGTAGTGGATGCAGGCCTGTAATCCCAGCAGCCTGAGAGGCTGAGGCAGGATGATCGCAACTTGGAGGCTACCTAGGCAGACCGTGTCTCAAAATAAAAATAAGCACTAAGAAAGCTGCCCCTGAGTTTGATCCCTAATACCGCAAAAACGAAAAACAAACTCTGAAAAGATAATTTTTAAAAAGATATTTACCTTAGTAAACACAAAACAAAATTTTCACCACTTTATTTGTTTTTTGTTTTTTTGGTACCGGGGACCGAACTCGGGCCTTGCACTTGTGAAGCAGAAGGTGGCACCACTGAGCTAAATCCCCCGCCTTATGTTTGTTTTTTGAGACAGGCTCTCACAATGTAGTTCAGGCTGTCTGGAACTCAGTGATCCTCCTGCCTCAGCCTCCCGAGTGCTCAGACTACAGGCATTTATAGGCATATAAGCTATTCCATTCCTTTTTAAGGCTGAGTAATACTCATGATATACCATTTTCTTTATGAGCTTTTCTTTCTGCTACCCGTAGGCCCCTTCCCTTGTGGAGTTTTGGGATTTTTTTCCCAAACACACTGTCACTGAGAAGCAAGGCCAACCCTTCCCAGTACAGTAAGCCCTGGCACTCTGGGAGGCTGAGACAGGACTACTGAAAGTCTGAATCCAGCCTGCATAGCTTAGCAACTTAGCAAGATCCTGTCTCAAAAGTAAAAAACAAAGAGGGTCGGGGATGGAGCTCAGTGTAAGAGTCCCGGGTTCACTCTCTAGTACTACAGGGAAGAGAATAAAAACAGGAGAGTGGAGGGCCGGAAGTGTACAGTCCCAGAATTGACCGCTACCGAGGTGGCCCGGCCCTGGTGGCTTCTTTGCAGACAGGAGGCGGACGAAGGGCAGAGTCAGCTTCCGGCGGGAATGAGAAGCAGCCTTCCCAACATGCATTTGAAGGAAATGGTAACTGAGGAAATCAAGCCTGTGAAGACAGGGCCACAGGAGTTGGGGTTGAATTCCCACGTCTGGTATCTGTGGGGTGGTTTTCTCCAAGTACTTGGCTTGCTTATTCACTTAGTTTGGTTTTGTCTGTTTTGAGACAGGATCTCACTGTGTAGCCCAGACTGGCCTTGAACTCGCCACGGTCACTCCTGCGTCAGCCTCCCGGGTGCGGGATGACAGACATTCGCCACCACGCCTGCTCACCCGATTTTCCACTGTCCGTCATGCAGGGGCCCTGCTCTCCGGGAGCACTGTGCCTCACACTGCCTGGGGAGCGATTATTCCCGCACGCTCCGTCCCATCGCTCCTGTCTCTTCCCTGTCCACACCACACGTGCCTCTAATCCAGGAGGCCTCGCTGCTCCTCGCTCCCCATGCACTGGGGACAGGGCTTCCCCGAGACAACCCACGCGCTCCCGACCACTGGACACCTGCTCCCCTGGGTAAGATGAGCCTGCTCCAAGGTCTGCAGGGACCGGGGCTTTCGGGGACCTGTCGGCCTGAGCTCCTGTGGGGACTGACAGGTGGAAAGTGATGTTTCCTAATCATCTCGATCTGAATGTGTCAGATTATTAGTGGGATTAGGTAGGGGTGTGTGGGCGTTTATGTAATGTCCACTGCTATTGCTTCTCTGAATCTGTCCGTTTATGAAGTGGATTATTCACCACCTTCGTCCTCTTCTCCTTTTCCTCTCACCCCCTTCTTCTTCCTCTTCTTTCTTTTCTTTTGGAGACAGGGTCTGGCTTCATTGCTAAATTACCCAGGATGATCTTGACCTTGTGATCTTCCTGCCTCAGCCTCTTAGAGTGCTGGGATTATAGGCGTGGCCACCACAAATGGCTTATCATTTTCTTATTGACTTGTAGACTCCTAAATTGTTTTGTTTTGTTTTGTTTTGTTTTGGTACTGGGAATCGAACTCAGGTCCTTGCACTTGCGAGGCAGGCAGCAGAACCAATGAGCTAAATCCCTAGCCGACCCCTATATATTTTGGATGGCATATTTTTCCATATATAAATAAGTGGACAAACTGTACATGTTTGCATACATACCTACACACACATATATATTTTGCAGTTTTAGTTTCATTGTATTTCACTTGTTATCTTTTTCTTTCTTTTTTTGGGGGGGGGTATCAGGAATCGAACTCGGGACGTTGTACTTTTGAGGCAGGTGGCAGAACCACTGTTTTGGATGGCATATTTTTCCATATATAAATAAGTGGACAAACTGTACATGTTTGCATACATACCTACACACACATATATATTTTGCAGTTTTAGTTTCATTGTATTTCACTTGTTATCTTTTTCTTTCTTTTTTTGGGGGGGGGTATCAGGAATCGAACTCGGGACGTTGTACTTTTGAGGCAGGTGGCAGAACCACTGAGCTAAATCCCCCCAGATTTAGCTCAGTAGTTCGGCTGCCTGCCTCACAAGCACTAGGTTCTGAGTTTGATCCCCAGTACCAAAAAAAAAAGATAATCTTTATTTTGAAATGGTCTCATAGTACCAGAAGGTGCAAAAATAATAGAGCTCCTGTGTACCCTTTAATGTGGTCCCCTCAGTATCTAACATAACTAGAGTAAATTCTCAAAATCATTGAATTGCCATGGGTACAAAAGTATTAACTGTATTACAAACCCTCCTCTTTCTTGGAAGCTCGAATGTTGGAATTATTTTAGATCTTCAGAGTGACTCCTTTTTTTGAGACAGGGTTTCAAAATGTAATTCAGGCTGGCCTTAAATTCATTATATGGCCCAGGCTGGCCTTGAACTTGTGGCAATGTTCTGGCATCAGCCTCCAGAGTGCCTGGATTACAGGTGTGTGTGCTACCATGTTGCTGTTTTACAGAAGTCAGTTAGGTTAAAAGTTTGTTGAATATTCTTGGTCAGTGAAGTTTTGAGTTAAAATCTTTTGCTATGATTATAAGTTTGTCTATTTTTTCTTAATTTTGTCAGTTCTTGCTTCATTAAGTTTTTTGGGGTTTTTTTGTTGTTGTTGTGTTTTTTTTGCACCAGGAATCAAACTTCGGTCCTTGTGCTTGCGAGGCAGGCAGCAGAACCACTGAGCTAAATTCCCCAGCCCCCCATAACGTCTTAATATAAACCAGGCCTGGCACAGCAATCCCAGCACTCTGGAGGCAGGAGGTTAGGGCGTGGCCTGTCTTTCTCTGGAGATGCTGGGCAAGAGCCTGAGAAAACAGTTGGCAAACTCCACACTAGGGACCAATCAGAAAGTGCTATCTTCAATTCTGGTGCAAAATCAAGGTTTGTGGTAGGACGGCCTCGCTCTGACGTCAGCCTGAAGAATGGGGATGCAAAAGATGGCCGCCATTCACCTCCTGGTCCCTGAGCTCTCGGTGACCCGCTGCCACTTCACAGAGCGTACTTTCCAACCTCGCATAGATGTAAAACCTTGGTCTCTATTTCTCGTGCCCTGTCCAATTCTTTGTTCAGGACACCAGTAGTCTGGGGAAAAAATCCATGGAAACAGTCTACAGAACCTCAGAAGCCAGTCACACTGGGAGGCTGAGGCAGGAGCGGGGCAAGTGTGAGTCCAGCCTGGCCAACCTAGCAACATAGCAAGACTGCCTCAAAATAAGAAGAAAAAGGGATGGCGGCTTGCTCTCCTTTGTTCAGAGACAGCCTGGCAGATCCTCCCCTTCATCAAGACCTGTTATGGTCCTGGTTTTTAAAAAAAGGGATTGGGGATGTGTGAAGGCCCTGAGTTCAATCCCCAGTGCCACAGAATGAATACATTTGAGTTTTGTGTATGGTATATTCAGATTTATAATTTACCTTTCTGGACAGTCAACCCATTCATCATTTTGGGTTTTTTTTGTTTGTTTGTTTCGTTTTGTTTTGTTTTTGAGACAGGTTCTCACTGTGTAGTTGAGACTGACCTGGAACTCACTATGTAGCCCAGGCTGGTCTCGAGCTCACAGCGATCCTCCTGCCTCAGCCTCCTGAGTGCTGGAATTACAGGTCCATTCATCATTTTGAGGAGGGGGTGCCAGGGATTGAACTCAGGTCCTTGCGCTTGCAAGGCAGGCCACGGAACCGCTGAGCTAAATCCACGGCCCTCCATTCATCATTTTGAAACATCTAACAATATTTCCTGGCTAATTTGATGTTAATGCACTGTACTCGCCATTTAGATTTCATAACTGTTGGGGGGGATTTCATAACATTTTAAAATAAGTGCTCATCTTTAAAAATATATAAAGAATAGTATTATATATCTTTTTCTAAATCCTTCCTGTAATCATTCTGTGATCCTATAAAGTGTCTCTCTTTTTTTTTTTCTCTTGGTCCTGGGGATCAAACTCGGTCGGGACCTTGCATTTGTGAAACAGGCGGTGGCACCACTGAGCTAACTCCCCACCTAAAATGTCTCTTACATAAACAATATAGAGTTAGATATTTTTGCTTTTAATATTGCACTCTTTGGCTTTTTTCGGTGGGGGGGAGTACCGGGGATCGAACTCGGGTCCTTGTGCTTGCAAGGCAGGCAGCAGAACCACTGAGCTAAATCCCTGGACCACTGTTTGGCTTTTAATCAAAAATCAAGTTTTTAATACTTAATATCTAATGTAATTAATATTTTCCCCAAAATTGCAGTACTAGGAATTCAACCCAGAGCCTTTAAGCTGAGAGCTACAGCCCTAGCTTTTTTTTTTTTATGCAGGGCCTTGTTGGGTCACTGAATTTTTCAGGCTGGGCTCAGACTTGCAGTCTTCCTTCCTCAGCCTCCCGGAATGCAGAGATCGCGGGTGTGTGCTGTCACGCTCAGCTCCTTGTCTTCTTCTACACTGAGATTTTTATTATTCTGTTTTCCTGTATTAGTCATATGTTCTTAGTATTTTTTTCTTGGTAGGTGCTCTATGTGTTACAACCTGCGTCTTTGTTACAGTGTTATGTAAATCTTCATTTTTTATGAGGCTCTTTTTTGGGGGGTACCAGGGATTGAACTCAGGACCTTGCACTTGCAAGGCGGGCTGCTGCACCACTGAGCTACATCCCCAACCCTTTTTTTTTTTTTAATGAGGTTCTGAACAATACCAGAACTCAATAATTCCATCTTGTGTTATCATGTCTGTTTTGGAAATATTACCAAGTTCACAGGGCTTTTCTTTGTTGTTGTTGTTATTGTTGTTGTTTGTTTTTTTTTCAAGACAGTATCTGGCTATATAAACCAGGCTGGCTTTGAACTCATGGTGATCCTCCTGCCTCAACCTCCCCAGTGCGCACAACTATGCTGAACTATAAATTAATTGGTTTTTGTGCTACTGACTTTAGGTCCCTCAACTTTTGTTAAATTCCTTATTAATTTTGTTGATTCGTGAAATCTTTATGTTTTTCGTTCACAATCAATGTCTGTGAAGAATTACAGTTTTACCCTTCCTACCTAGTCTACATCATTTTTCTTTGGTTCTGTTGTGTGGCCAGGACCTTACATATAATATTGAAATAAAGTGAAATCGTGAACACTCTTTCATCCTTCCTAATCTTGGCTGCAGTTTTTCAGTATTTGACCATTAAGCATAATACTTTTTTGTAGCTGCTCTTCATTGGATTAAAGAAAAGCCTACCATTTATAGTGTAGGAAGAGTTTTCATTGAACTTATTAAATGCTTTTTCTGTCTTTTTTGAGAAGATGGTTTCCTATCACATTTTCCTGTCTGCTAATGCATTGAATTACAGTGATCGGTTTTTGGATTGAGTCCATTCATACATTCCTGAAACAGACCCAACATTTTATAGATTGTTTGGTTGGTAATGTTTTGCTTAGAACTTTTTTTTTTTTGGTACTGGGGATCAAACTCAGGACCTCGCACTTGCGAGGCAGGCGTGGCGCCATTGATCTAAATCTTTTGATATCAGGGTTGTACGAGGCACATGAAAAGACCAAGGAAATGTCCCTGTGACGGTATAGACCCAGATGTCCCCATAAAGCTACATGCGCTCAGGGATGGGACCTCTGGGAGCTGACTGGACCATGGCGGCACAGAGCTGGCTGCCTAGGAGGCGGGGCCTGCAGGGCCTCTCTGTCCCCTCCCTGGGCCCCAGGCTGGGAGCGGCTCTCCTCTGCCAGGTACCTGTGCCAAGCCGCAGTGCCTTGGGGCTGTCCTGCTATGGGCTGAAACATGAGCCAAAATAAACCTCTCCTCAAAATGGAGGTGTTTGGTGTTTTGTCCCCGCAATAAAGAAAGTGACTAACTAAGACAGACTCTCTCGATTCTCCTGAGTGGCTTACTTACTTTCTTCCTTAATTATTTGGGACAGTACACTGGGAAAGCAAGTTTGGCATGGTGGCGCACGCCTGTCACCCCGCCATGTGTAAGGCTGAGGCAGAAGGACGACCACAAGTTAGAGGCCTTGTCTCAAAAAAAAGAAAGTCGGCTTTGGCTCACCGTTTCGATCCATGTTTCCCAAGGTGGG